AAAAAAAAAAAAGAAAAAAGAAAATGACATCTTTCTGAACCATAATCCTCTGGCATCACCTTGATTCTGACCAATGCTAAACCTCCATCAGGTTTCCAAAGATCAGTCTTTCTGGAAAGAGGCTGTCCATCATTTTCCCACAGAGTTATTGGTAGATTTGAACCACCAATTTTTTGGCTAGCAACCTAATACATAAAGAAGCATTCTGCCACCCAGGTGGCTTCCTGATCAGTTATTTATTTTTTTTTTAAATTTTGTTGGATTGTGATTGAATGTGTTCCTAAATATCCTGCAAGTATGAATGGCATTTTTACTAAGAAACACTGAACTTAAGTGGATCTATTCTATAGCTTGTCAGAGAGGACCAATGAATTTAATACTAAAAATCTAGGAGATAAATTTCCATAAAGATTCCAAACTAAACCAAACTAACTGGTAGTCTAACTCATAGTGACCCTACAGGACAGAAGTGACCTTCTCTATAGGGTTTTCAATGTCTACAGAACCAGATTGTTAGCTCTTTTCCACAGAGCAGCTGAGGGATACGAATTCTCATCCTCTCAATTACTAGCTAAGCTTTTTAACCACCGCACCACCACACTCTTCCCACAGAGAGTACAGTCAAAACCATCTTGTAATGTAGTTTTACTTTGTTATTATGGGTCAAAAGCAGCTTTGTGTCCCCATACAGGCTAACACTAAAAACTGGAAGCTTTGATATGGTCACAATATCTTGGAACAAAGATGACAAGAATGGGTTTGCTTTCATTTGAATATATTCTATCTGGAGGACAAGCACCTGGCTAATTGTCTGGAAGAGATCCATATTCATTCCCATTCCAAAGAAAGGTGAATAAATAGATATTATTGAACATTATCATTAATACCACATGCAAGCAAGATTCTGCTGAAAATTAGAAAATAATGACTGGAACAGCACATCAATAGAGAAGTGCCAGGTGTACAGGCTAAGTTTAAAAGATGTTTTGGTACTAAGGATACTAACCTAATGTTAGATGGATCTAGGCTGAAAGCAGAACACCAGAAGAATGTCTATCTATGTCTCATTGACTGTGCAAAGGCATTTGACTGTATGGATTACAACAAACTGTGGCTAACTCTGAGGAGAACGGGAATTCAGAACATTTGATTGTGCTTATGCAAAACCTATAATTGGACCAAGAAACAGTCATCAGAAAAGAGCAAGGAAATACTGCAAGGTTCAAAAACGGAAAGGGTATATGCAAGCGATGTCTCTTATCTTTGTAACTTTTCAATCTATATGTGGAAAAGACCATTTGAGAGTTTAGGCTTTATGAGGAGGAATGTGTCATCAGAATTGGAGGAAGACTCATCAACCGTGCTTGCAGAAAGTGAAGAGGAACTGAAGCGCGTGTTGCAGAAAGTCAAGAATAGCAGACTTCAATATTAATATTAATATTAATTGAAGTTCAACATCAAGAGAACAAAGATTCTCACTACTGGGCTGATTGGCAACATCATGATAAACACTGAAGAGATTGAGATTGTTAATAACTTCTGTTTCTTTGGCTCCACAATCAATGCTCTTAGTACCAGCAGTGGGGCGCCCGGGGGGGAGGGATGATGAATTGCATTGGAAAAGTCTGCTGTTAGGGACATCTCCAGAGTACAGCGATGCCTGTCTGGAGACTAAGTTGCACCTGATCCATGTTATGGTCTTTGTAATTACATGCCGTACATCAGAAAGCTGGACAATGGCTAGGGATGATATAGAAGGAGAATTGATGCCTTTGAGCTTTGGCACTGGAGAAGAGTATTGAATATATCAGGGACTGGTAGGAGAATAAGCAGATTTATCCTAGATAGGATGAAACCAGGCTTCTCCTTGGAAGCAAGGATTCTCAAGCTCCATCCAACATACTTTGGACATGCTGCACAGAGGGACAAGTCCTTGGAGAGGGACATCATGCTTGGGACAGTGGAGGGACAACACAGGAGAGGAAGACCCTGGATGAGATGGATTGACTCTGTAACTGGAGTAATGGAAGTGGATGTGTCAGAGACAGTACGGTTGGCTTAGGGCAGAGCAGAGTTCAGAGTTGTTGTATATAGGATCACTATGAGTCACAAGAGATTTGATAGCACATAACAACAACCACAAGTAGTAACTATACACATGGACTTCATCTGACAGAAACACAGAACTCAGATAAACTGTATCTGTGCTCATTGTCAGCAGTCAAAACCTGGTCAGGGCTGACTATTGAGCAAATCATCAGCTGTTAATATTCAAGTGGAACCAAGCAAACTGAAATTGTTAACAACCTCAAGCTATTCTGTATCTATCATGGTGCTGGCAATTGGCTTAGTGGTGATACTCTTTGGTTGGTTGGTTGGTTGGTTGATTTATGTTCAGCTTCAATCATATTGAAGGCTTTAATCCTTGACCTTGTACAGCAAACATTCCAGGTCTTCCTCCAATACAGATGCCACATTTCTCCTTGTAAAGCCCAGCCTCCCAAATGATCTCATTTACATATAGATTGAAAAGGTATGGAGACAAGATGCAGCCCTAATGCACTCCTTTCTTGATTTTAAACCATGCTTAAAACC